ACTTATGAATTTCTGAGAATGAAGGCTATCATAACTTACTTTTGTACGATAACCGGACGTTTTTTTGGTACATGTTCTATTTTACTAATAACTCGAATTCCTTGACCACGGGCACTAGCTGGCTAAATCAAACGTTTACAATAGTTGGGTAAAGAATATGATAACATTCACACATTAAAAATAAGTTCATTGTATACAAACCGGCTTAACAATCCATTTACATTCTTTTGAATCTGTTGTTTCTTCAAAAATACGTTTTAATAATAATAAATCAGCTGGTAATACAAATGTGTGTGGTACAAAATCAAATTCTCGTTTAGAATGTATCGCTTGCATATGCGATAAATTTCGCCATAAACGATCTTTACGACCGATTTGAAATGAACCAGGAAAATGATTTACCTATTAATAATAAAAAATTTGAAAATAAAATAAAATAATTTTGAATAAATGATATTTTACTTTTTGAAATTCTCGTATCGCTCGAAAACACTGCGGTTTCATATGACGAGACCATGTACCGAGCCAGTCATTCCCCTCTAAATTAAATTATATTTATGAACGATGATATTTTGGTTATTCAAAAACTAGAAAAGGGTAGATACGAGATAAAAACTTCATAAACAAAACACAACACGATGAAGTAGTATAACTTGATACCGTTATAAACGATATAAAACCATAACTGTTTTACTATCTTATTACTGACTCCGAATATTTAATAGATAAGTTATCAAGAAAAAGATAACTGAAATAGTGAAGAAGAGGATAAAGTATTACTATGTGTAATTGTGAGTGCAACAAAATTTATTAAACATGCGCATCAGTCCTAAGCACTAATAATCTGTATTATCTACGTACCGTCAGCTAAATGATGTATGTAAATTATATTAGAGAAAATTTTAATAACAAATCTAAGAATACGTACCATTCATTAGACGAAATCCTGATCTTATAACCGTATTTTTGACAATATTTGGTGTAATTGTTGACATCTTCCATTTCATCATTTTTTTCAACGGTGGCGGCAATGGATCGACTTGAAACAGATAGATTTTTAGCTGTATTTTTATAAATCTTAAGTAGTGTATACTGACTTTGCTGATTTTCTGTTCCAAATCGAACTGTCGGTGGTACATTAACAAATAGACTTGGTATGAGTCCTGATTTAACATCCATATCGCCCACACGACGAACTGGAAGAATTTCCACAAGTATGCAAAACATTTATTATGTGACAATCAAAACAAAGCATACCTTTATCTGATATAAGTACATGAGGATCAAGTGCATTGTATATGTCTGTGTCCACTAAAGTAATTCAGAACAACGTTTTTCGTTTACATATAGAGAATAGAGTGACTAATAACAGCTTACCGTCACTTTCAGAAGATTTTAATGATCCTTCTTCATTTTCTCCTTCATCTTCTTCATCTTCATTTTTTCCTTCATTCTCCTGATCAAGTCTAAACAAAAGTTTCTCAAACTGTTACGGTCTTCAGTTCTACGGCTTCGTAATCGGACAGATCGAGAAACTTTTTCAAAAAGTAGGAGAAAATAAGAACTAATAACTAGATCTTCCGATAATATTCTACTACGTATAACGTACTCAACTATCTCAGATTGACAACTGTATAATATAATTGCACAA